AAAAAAAAAAAAAAAAAAAGAATGACCATAATCTATATAACACTTAATGAAGGATTTTATAAGCCTATACTTAAGTTCCATGAAATATACATTTCATAATAGAGTACCCTTTTCATGAGATAAATGAATGGTTCCAGGAGCAGAAATACTTGAACTTCTCTTGAGTAAAGGTAATAATTTTAAAAAAATTTTTAGTCATATTTAAGCATGAAAATGACTAAGATTCCTTTCTAAGTTTGTTAGAGATTTTAGAATCAAATGTATAGTCCATTTCAAATAAGTCTCCTAAGTCTACAGGCATTTTTGTCATGATTATATGCATCATTTTTATTTTCTTTCCTTTTATTTTCTTTTTACTCCAAATCTTTAGCTTTCATTAAAATATAATTTCCTTAATATTACATATATCTTGTAAGTCCTACAGGTTGGCTTTTAGAACAGATCAAAAATAAATATATACCACATCAATGTCAGTACACACATGGCTCAATGAAAATAAGGAGAAAAGAAAGAAACAACAGAATGGTTTTCTAAAATTACATCTTCACTTCTATGACAGCCACTCAATAGTTACAGCTAAATTTAGTCATAAACTTAGATGCAGAAGTAAATGTTCATTTATGTCCTAGTGTAGCAGTTTAATATTTTCTATATAAATGATCTTTTGGGGAATTTACATACACACATGGCAAAAAGAGCCATTATTAATTGTGATTTAGACAGAATCCAACACAGACTTTTGAGTTGATGTTGGAATGAGTTAAGACTCTGTGGGCTATTAGGACAGAATTAAAGTATTTTATATGCAAGGAAGACATAAATTTGGGAGAGGCAGAAGTGGAAAGCTAAAGTCTGAATATTTGTGTCCTCCAAAATCCATATGTTGAAAACCTCATCCCCAGAGGAGTGACATTAGCAAGACAGCAAAGTAATAGATATCAAACTTCATTCTATCCATAAAAAACAATAATCAGTCATCCATCAAAGAAAATAGCCTAAGGAGGGCTCAAGAATCCAGTTAAGAACTTAGAGCAACACAGTAAAGCAAAAAATAGACAGTAATAAAATAGAAAGATCACTGGAGAGACAGGTATACCTGAGATGTCTGGACTTGGATAAGAACAAAGATGGACAGGACTTATCATTATCAGCTACATGATAGGTGCCACCATGGCCCCATGGCCTGGTCCACACAGTACACCAGCAGCTTTTCCCCTAGAGGTAACTAATAGCTATTCATGTCATAGATCCCTTAGAAAAGGAGAGAGACTGCTGTGCCCTCTCCCTACCCAAGATGGAGCCACTCTTAGGTCAGGCAGTCGGGAAAATTAAGAGCTGTCAATAAAAGACCTTCAGAGAGATATTTCAACCATTTCAACTTGTGAGGACACAGCAAGAAGGCACCATCTATGAATTATAAGGCAAGTCCTCAAAAGACACTGAATCTGCAGATGCATTGATCTTGAACTTCCCAGCCTCAGAAGTATGTTTGTACACTACTCAGTTTATGGTATTTAGTTAAAGCAGCCCAAATAGATTAAGACACAATTATGTCATGGATCCTCAAGATTGCTTACAAGTAGTCAAAGTCACATTGTATTAAATGTGAAGGACTTTGTTAAATACACAAGCACATACACACCCATGGTTTGTACAGGTGTCAGTTTAATAAGAGTGTCACTCTACATTCATATTGGCTGGTTTTGAAATCTCTAATTCATCATTTAACAGCAGGGAAAACTGGGCTCCTTTTTTAATGCCTCTGTATTCTACCTCTTTATTGGTAATATGAGGCTACTAATAGGGTGTTAGAAAGACTAACTACAAAAAGGTACATAAAGTGTGTATTATATATGTTATTACATGGAAAATGTTAAATATTAAGTGTGTTCATATTTACATATGTAATGTATTTATTATGTAAATATATTAGTATTTACATATTATAATAAACATAAATATGTGGATATAAAAAGACTGGAAGGAAATGAACTAACAAATTGTGTTTGATGTAATTCAAGGTGATTTTTGTTTTCCTCTTTACTTTTCTATAACTCAAATTTTCAATGATGTACAGGTTTACATTCATAATAAAAATAACAAATGCTAATTTCATTAACAGGAAAAACAGTCATAAGCTAAATTATTGAAGTTTATTGTGTCCACTAGGAACAATTTCCACATAATGATAGATTTTAAATCCTAGAATAAGCTATTACATTTAAGAGTGGGAAAAATGGGGAAACATTAATTCTTTTCACTAGTATCATCCTTCTAGAAGGGTGGAGAATAGATTTCAAGTTTTCAAATCTCTGACAACAAAACAAATGGCTCCATGACAATGTCTAAGTGAACTTATATTATTATCTCCATTATGTTCTTGAAAAATGGATGGGTTCATTTTCTATAAGTTTTATTCTAAGATTTGGTTTATAATAAAAAGAGGGGAAGTGGAGAAATTTTTCTCCTTATTTGGTTTAGGCTTGATATTGTCTTACCCACGCACACTCAGCTCTTATAAGTTACATATGCTAGCATGATAACAAAGCAAGGACACTGTCCAAAATTGGGTCCAAGGTATTCTAAATACAATTTAAAATGGTCCCTATTTCTTATTATTTCTTTGTTTGGTATACTAGTGCAGAAATAAAGACTATAGCTTGAAAACTTAGGTTAATGTAGAGAGATAAAGTAGTAACAGAAATAAGTTACATATGCTAGCATATGTATACTAGTGCAGAAATAAAGACTATAGCTTGAAAAGTAACTTAGGTTAATGTAGAGAGATAAAGTAGTAACAGAAAAACAGAAATCATTACCACCTGTTGGCATATCAAACACAATTCGTTGATCTATCAAAACTCATGATTTAATTCCTTAATACTATTTATACTTCATTTTTGAGAATGGGATAGTAATAGACACATTAACCAAGTGTCATCAGAACACAGACAATTTTTAAGTATACATGCATGCACATATACATTTACTTATCTATCATCTACACATGCATACACAATGACTGTGAGAGGAAACAAAAATGGCAACATTGGAGAATCTTTCACGTACGATTATGAATCTTTACTTTCTTTGTTCTTCATGCTCTCATAGTTTCTAAATTTTCTATAATGGGTTTTACAATCACAGTCAACCATATATAATGTAAAACAATTGGTTTTACAATCACAGTCAACCATATATAATGTAATATGTGTATATATTACAAAACTATATATATATATGTGTATATATAGTTTTAGCATGTATTTGTTTCAGTTTCCTGTAAGAAACAATCTTAGTACATACAAAACAAATTATCTTGTTATCTATATGGTCAAAACAAATGTAAAATAAATTAAAATTAAATGCATACATTAAAAACAATTAACTGGGCAAGGTGGCTCATGCCTGTAATTCTAGCACTCTGGGAGGTTGAGGCTGGTAGATTGCTTAAATTCAGCAGTTTAAGAACAGCCTAAGCAAGAGCCAGAGATCCCATCTGTACTAAAAGTAGGAAAAAAAAAAAACTAGCCAAGCATGATGGCTGGCACCTGTAGTCCCAGGTACTTGGGAGGTTGAGGCAAGAGGACTGCCCAAGCCCAAAAGTTTGAGGTTGCTGTCAAGCCATGACACCATGGCAATCTATCCAGGGCAACAGAGTGAGACTCTGTCCAAATAAATAAATAAATAAATAAATAAGTAAAATAACTATTAATCAGCTGTTTTATGTTATTAGAATTATTTTTAAAAAACTGGTGAGGAATCTCATAAAAATTTGACTATTTGTCTTTGTCTGAATGATCTTTTCATTATATATCTATAATTAAAAAATCCAAATCAATTTTTATAATTATAATACTTACTAAATTCTTAGAGTTGATATGTTCAATAAAGTATAATAAAAAAATACTTACTTGGGAGAAATTGCTACAACATTCCCTGATTGGGAGAGGGAAAAGTCAGTAGCATCTCTTCCAACAATTATAGCATTATACACTATGTTTCTTGAGCTTGAATTTTTTAGTGAAATCTATGTAGAAGAAGAGGGTATAAATAAAGTTATAAATATGCAACTGTGTCACTTTTTACTTTTATTACGGAATTCGATACATTGTAATGATAAAATACATTCCTTATGTAATGATAAAATACTTATACCTTGTAATGATAAAATACTTATAAAATACTTATTTAAGCTCAGCTAAGTGTAGGAAGCCAGACGTATTTAGAGAGATATGTGTGTATGTATAGATATGTGTAGCTCTGCCTAAGCGGGCAGGGAGAAGAAGCTTTCAACAAAGGAAAGGACAGATGCAAAAGCTTCTCAACATAAAAGATCTGAAGATCAAAATTTGAAACTTGAATTTTATTTTTATTGCAAAGGGAAAAACTCAACTCCCATCATTCTGCAGGTTATGTGATCACTCTGGTCTGTTTTCAGTAAGAATCCTGTTATGCTAGCTTAACCGGAATTACCTCTTAATCTATATGCTTCCTCTTAGTCATTTTCCATCTGCTGACCAATTCTGCTTCTTTATGAATTCCTATTTTCCTTGTATTTTTAGTTGAGCTAAATCTCTCTTCTCTACTGAAAAACTGCATTGCCGTAGTCTCCGTATGTATCACAATTCTGAATAATTTCTGCCTTATCATTTTAGCAAATGTCACAAAGAATTTTTCCTTTAACAAGATGCAAAGGTATCATGGAAGGAGAAGACTTGGGGACAGGAAGAATTGTCAAAATTAGAATGAAGAAACAGTAACTACAAGTTAAGAAGTTTAGGAACTATAGTCACAGATATTTGAAAAGAGAAAAATCAGCAATATGCACAGTTCTAGTGAATCACAAGGAATATGGTGGAGAGTTGAGGAATGATTAAATTAACTTCCTAGTTAAATGGAAACTATGGTAACTTCTAGAAAAAAAGTGTGCTATTGTTGAAGAGTTTCCACCTTTGATTTCTTCAAGGATCTGAAAATACCATGTTCTCATCTACTTAATGGTAGTAATTATAATGAGGGAAAGACCACTCTAGTGTGGTATTTTTCATGGCTGTACATATATATGTGTGTATGTCTGTATGTATGTGTATATTTCAGGTATTTATTAACAGACCAAGTGACTTTAAATCCCAGAGAGCTCATTGCTATTGTTTTGGAAGGAGATATTGAAAATTATAGTGGGCTCATTTTGAAAGAGTGTCCAGTCTGCAACTGGTGGACTGCATGTAGATTATTTGCAGACTGTTTTGCTTCTCTTTGGTGTTGGATATCATGAAAAGCAAGCATGGACCTCTTATGTTGCTCATCAGCTTTGATTAGTGTTTGTGTATTTAATGTGTGGCCCAACACAACTCTTACTATTCCAATGAGTGGTAGGAAAGAAAAAGATTGGACACCCCTTAGATCTAAACTTTTAGATCATAAGGAAGCCATTTATTCTCATTATGTCATACATATGACACAAAGGCCCAGGCTTATTCACGGTAAAACAATTCCATTCAACTCTAGGATTCCATGCAGAGTTGATGAAGTGTAGATATAGATAAGAGACAGCTGTTCAAGGGAAGAAAAGAAAGATTTGAAGTCTCCATTTGTTTGTTTGTACTTACATCTATCCTTTAACTATTGTGCTTCTATGTAAATTATGTTTCAAAAAAGAGTCTGCTTGCTTTTAATGGCTCAGAGTATCACTGTACTCCATGTGTTTTCACTGATTACTATGTTTTCTTACTGGTTTCAGTATTCTAGGCTTCTCTTGGTGACTCATGGCTATCGAAATACTTTTTGATTCTAATCGCCATTCTTGAGATTTTTCTGTGTTAGGGAAAGTTGATAGGGCTGATGACAATAACATTCTACGATTTAGGCACTGCCATTTACAGAGTTAATTTATAGGAGCAAACAGTGAAATAAATTCTCATTTAGCCACATTAAAATCATTGATCTTCTTAAATGAAAGTTAAAATCAAACCTTATAATTTGTTTTATATTTCATTTACACTTAAATTTTATTTTTTCCTTCAAAAACTTATCTTACATTTGTGAAAAATAAAAGGAACACCTACACAATCTGATCTATATTCTAAAGGTACGAAGATCATTTCTAATAAAGAGATAAAATGAGAAAAGAAATATGTTTTAATTTTGGTTTTCACAACATAGTTAATTCTTTTGTTTAAACATTTGCTAGTGTTAATATTAACTATTTTTTAAAATGGCAACAATTATACCCTTGTTCACTTGTACCCTTGTTAGACAGACCATATAGGTGATCTTTCCAGTCACCCTCCCACCACCCAGCTGCCCTTCTGGTTTGTATCAGAATGTTTATTGTAGCCCAATTCATAATTGCCAGGTCATGGAAGAAGCCCAAGTGCCCATCGATCCACGAATGGATCAGCAAACTGTGGTATATGTATACCATGGAATACTATGCAGCCCTAAAGAAAAACAAAGACTTTACCTCCTTCATGTTTACATGGATGGAACTGG